GGGGGGGTTTGAAAAGAAATCAAATTGAAGCAATACCAAAAAAATATTATGCACATCCATGCAGTATAAAAATATGATAAAACAAGAATAATCACTACTAAGGTTATATTCTACAATTTATGTTTATTTGATTGCTTCACATGATTTTCCTATTGAGCACCACCCACAAGGTAAGCTGGAGAAGACATCATAACTTAGGAATCTAGGCAAATTTCCAGCAATAGTCTCATACTAAGCCAGCTAACAAGCAATTAATTTGCAAAACATACCTTCTGAACAAGTTCTCCAACTTTATCTGGGGTAGCAAAAGCTTGATCCTTTAGTGGTTTTGCCAGAACTGACTCCAGCTTTTGATTCTGACTGCCCGAGGAAAATGCAACTTTCACAGCTGTCACCTTCAGAAACAAAATTAATTTTTCTAGTTAAAGGCCATGGTGGACTTCTAAAAGCCAAAGAGAAAATCTATGAAGGAAACTTCGCGAAGTCCAAAAATTGTGCTATGAGTCTCTGATAAATATGAATTTAAGTTAAATTCAGTACAAATTATTCTCTCTACTAGTTGGGTATGTCATCTTCAGAATGCTGCCAATTGGCACTTGGCATGTTATGGCATGACGCGTAAAGACATGAAAGGTAAATAACTGATTGAGAACACAATAGATGAGGAACATGAGCACATGAATTGAATATTTATTATATTTTCACAGGATGCCTTTTTGCATGACGTGATGAAAAGTCATTGGACCCGTCTTGTCAAAGGGTCTCTGATTTGATAAATAATAGTCTCAAATGTAGTAAAACTCTAGGGTAAACTATATTGATACACCCTCAGTTTTGAGGTAAGTAACAACCCCTTCACAATTGATAAATGATAGAGAGACAATGGGTGCTCTGTTACAATGCACAAAATTCAGTAGAGTTTTTGTCATTTCTTGTCAATGGTCTTATTATTATCATATCATGTTACCGAAAGTGAAGGGTTTTCAGTATAATTTATTGTAAAATATAAGGAAACTAGTCTGCAAAAATACTGGAAGTGAAAAATGACAAACCTTAGTAACAAACGAAAGCATGGGATCCACAACTAGCTTCGTGACTGACATAATGAACTCTTCACAAGTGGCTTTGAGGCTTTTCTCCAGATCCTAGATGTCAGCAATTTATAACCACACATTACACTATGACCAGAAGGGAACACATGGCATATAGAATTAAATCTAACATGTTATATTTATTATCACTAGAACCGCTTGGTGAACATAAAAAAAATGAGTAATTTGAAGTTTCTTCGGAAAACTCACCCTAAACTCATTGGTGTAATATGTATCATCCTTAGGAAGATGGCCAAAGTAATTACCCCGGATCAAGGTGATTGTGATACTCGGTTAAAACTGACCAAACTTTGTTATGTGTGCATAGATATGGAGAGATAAACAGAAGAGGATACACGACGTAATGCTATAGTTTCTCCAACCAATGCTTTTGTAATTCACTGATAACACACTGATGGAGACACTTACTTGTTTGTTTATCCCAGCTTTCAATAATGGTTTAACGATCTTTCTTCTAACAATCAAAAAGTAGAGGGTACACGGTGTAATGCTATAGTTTCTCCAACCAGTGCTTTTGTAATTCACCAATAACACACCAATGGACACAATTAGTTGCTTGTTTATCCCAGCATTGCCAGCTTTTGACAGTGGTTTAACGATCTTTCTTCTCACAATATTACGTAAGACCAACTAAAAAAATTTCCTTTTCCTTGTTACAAAATGGAAAAATAATTTCACAGGAATTTAAGTTGCATCTCTAATATTTGGAACCGAGACACAACATTAAAAGAATGGTCAGATCTCAGAAATCTCTTTGTCAGTCCTCATTTTATTTACTTTGTTTCTCCAGCATTTGCAATTGCTCAAACATTAGCCCAAGTTTGTCATCCGTGAACCAGCTTATTTTTCTCAATTAAATTATTGATTGAGTTGAGATAATAATTCCACCGGAGCTCAGAGCTTCCATTTCTTAAGGCATTATTCCTTTTACTACCATGTCTTTCATAAACTGATGAGAGCCTTTCTTGTGCCACTATTTTATTTTCTTGTTGCTCTCTTATAAATTACTTGACCACTGCCATCTCAAATTCCTGCAATGAGCAGGTCCCTGTGTCAGTTTCAAATATTGAAGCATGTAACCATTGATGGCCACATAGGAAAGAACCGATTGGATATGAAAGGGTACATGGTAGATATAGATTTGGAGACAGGAATGATATTGAAGATTTTGTCTTAAATCTTGCTATAGCATATAATCTTATGATAGCAGATATGTATTTGAAAAAGAGGAATTAACATTTACTAACTTTTAAAAAGAGATTGAATAAAAGTTAAATACATTTTTTCCTAACTAGACAAGGAAAAAGTAGATCATGCAAGGACTATAAAGTCATTCCAGGCGAGAGTTTTACCACACAACATAGGATAATAGTACTAGATATATTTATTAGAAACAATATAAGACATAAGAAAGAGATTAAAAATCCAAGAACTATATGATGGAATTTGAATAGTGAAAAGTTAGATTTGTTTAAGAATAAATACTAAAAGAACTAGTATAGAATATAGAATATGACATAAATGTAATGTGGAATACCATGACAGAACATATTAATAAAGTAGCTATTGAGCTTCTTGGAGAATCAAGAGATAATGAAACATTAGCAAGAGAAATTTGGTGGTTGAATGATTAGGTCCAAAACTCCAAATTATGTTTGGAACCCGTTTTCCTTTGACAAATAGAGACTGAAAATAACTTCTATTTATAAGCGTTGGAGGCCCTGAACCCTGAGTGCTACAAAACATGGCAAAAAACTAAAAACAAAGTGNTGAGAACTCTATATCAAATGGTGCAATCTGGAAGGCCAAGTTGCAGAGTTAGTCACATGTAGTTAAACTGATTATTGTGCTCACCAATATTAACAGCAAGAGATAACCTGCTCCCTTAAAATAAGAAGATGCTTTATAAGGAAGAGCTGTCCATCCATTGGTGAAGATTTTTTCACAATGAGTTTGCTTGCTTTCTGCAACAAAAAAGAAGTATAACCAAATATTTTTTTATCAGTACATACGATAACAACAAAAGAAGGGTATATTTGTAAGGCCACTAATCAAATTCTCGATTGTCCCTAAAAGAGATAACATAGCATACGGACAATACTGTCAATACAGACTCACTGCAGTAAGAACTATCAGATGCTGAGACAACATTAATAAAGTTTGTTGTTTAGCTCACTCACTTGTATGGATAAGGAACAAACTTCTACCGCTTCCTAATAGAGACAGCAAACCAAACAATCGAATAATGAACGGGATAAAGGAGGCAAATTTAATCTAAAATTCACAAGAGTACCCTACCAAGAGAAATACTTGCATACCTGTGCCAAACCAGTGAAAACAGGTGGTTCTAGACAACGATCCAACTTTGACAAACATGATAGAGTTTTCTCAAGAGGAGGATACCAAGTTTTAAAGACATCTGGGCTTTGATCTGTCTGCAGTTTGACAATAAGGAAAGAAAAGGTACGGATCTCATTCAAGGGGCATTGCTTAAGTCTAACAAGAAGGTCATAAAAATAAATGAATATTTCAGAAAACAAGAATCAGAGGAGTACAACTGAAGCTTGTAAAATTGAACCCAAAAACACAAATTGCAGGAGTATATATAGCAATCTCACCCACAGAACACAACCAATATATGGATAATTGAGATGGTCAAGAAGAACTCCAACAGACTGTAAATAATATCAGAACTTCTGGAATGGCTACTAATATTTTTCAACTAAAGTGTAAGTATTTTATATTTAGTCTGTTCTTCAGACCCAATAATCATTTATAAAAAGGAGGGCTAAGGCACTTACTGCAGCAGTTTCTGATTTCATCTCAGCTGATCGCTCCAGCTTTGTGGGATAATCCAAATCATCATCAAAAGGAACATAATTCGCGATCTAATAAATAGGCACATCAGGGATCCAAAAAATAACCAAAATATTAGGCAGGAAACTGTGGGTTCATCAAACAAATGTCATGAGCATTCAATGGATGGCTCTAAAATATATATATATATATAGAAAGAGAGAGAGAGAGAGAGA